TGGGCGGAAAGTGGGGGTGAGAGAAAGTGAGAAAGCGGGAACCAGCAGTTAGCGTAATGGCTATGTCGCTGGATTCCCACATAGTCAATCGCGGTTCGCGTCCCGGACCCGGTGGCTTAGAACTCACGCCAGGCGCGTGTGCGTGTGTGCCCAGGATCCTGAGAGGAGAATGGAGGAGAAGGGATTGTGGCGTGACCATCCCCCCTGGGGGATGATTTCTCGCTTTCTGTCTCTATGTCTCTGTCTGTCTGGGGAGCGCACGCGCCCTATAGCGAAAACCTCTCCAAAAAAAAAAATACTACTAATAAATAAACTTAAATAATTCTTAAAAAATAAAAATAGAAGAAGAAGAAATACCCCCAGGAGCAGCAGATGGAATAATGGTTACGTTGCTGGACTTCCATGTAGTCAACCGTGGTTTGAGTCCTGGACCTGGCAGGTTAAAATTCAATGGTGAATGTGCGTACATGCTCAAAATCTGGAGGAGAATGGAGAAGGGACTGTAGTGTGCCCATCCCCCAGGAGGTGATTTCTCGCTTCCTGACTCTGAATGTCCAGTGAGCACACATGCCCTATAGCAAAATCTCTCTCCCCCCAAAAAAGAAACAACATGCAGCTAGTAGGTGGTGTGATGGTTAAGGCAGCTGGGTTACCACATAGCTGACTGTGGTTTAAGTCCCAGACCCAGTGGCATGACAATAACGCCAGCCACATGGGTGTCCAAAATCCTGAGAGGGGCACTTCGATGTGGCCATCCCCCCAGGTCATAATTTCTCACTTTCCTTCTCTCTCTTTCTCTGTCTCTCCTCTCCAGCAAGTGCATGTGCCCTATGGCAAAAAGGGGACAAAAAGGATCCAAAATACCAGAGGGCACGCTCTCACTCTGCACATGCGTGCATGCATATGCTCACATACACTGCCCACCCACCCCTCTTCCCCCCAAAACACACATACAATGAGGAAAGGGCATGCGAGGACATAGTCAGAGGCGGTTGTCTACAAGAGAGCCCTTCCTTGAATTTGTTAAAACTTTGCGTGAGGTGCCAGTAGTGGGATGGTGTTAGGGTATTGGACTTCCACATGGCTGACTATGGATCAAGTCCTGGACCTGGCAGCTTGCTTTCTCACTTTCTCTGATGAATACCTGTATCGAATTTTAAAATATAATAATAATGATAAATAAAATTAAATAAATAATTAAAAAAAAAACCTTTTCTGGATCTTGGACTTCTGGCCTCCAGAACTGTGAGAAAATAAGCTGTTTAAACAATCT